CACTTGGCCTTGTTGAACCTCATGAGGTTCACACGGGCCCACTTCTCGAGCTTGTCCAGGTCCCTCTGGATGGCATCCCGTCCCTCTGGCGTGTCAACTGCACCACTCAGCTTGGTGTCATCTGCAAATTTGCTGAGGGTGCACTCGATCCCACTGTCTAGGTCATTGATGAGGATACTAAATTATTATTAGCTCCTAGACTGCAATAATAATGGAGACTAAGGAAGGCCAGTTGTAGACATTGTGCAGGATAAACCTGGAAATTTAGCATTAGCTTTCCTGGTCTGGCAGAAAGCCCAGGCTCATTAAAAGAGAAGCCTATGTGAAAATGTGGAAACAGAGAGCTTGTGGATGGTGCACTTATCTGATAGTCTGTGCCTACTAGACACAGTGTGGTTCAGTACTGCTTTCTGAGGAAGACTTCTGAAGAGAAGAAAATCAGTTGGATGTAGGGATGAGAGATGATAGTAAAGAGTTTTTCAAGGGCAAAAAAGCTTGTGATGAGTTTTGGCAAGTTTCCAAGGGCATTTGTTTTTGCAGGGGAAAAAAAAAAAGGTATTTCTTTAACAAGCAAAAATACACAGTAAATACTGTAGTTTGAGGAGAACCTGTATATCCTGGAAGATTTTTAAAGCCAGGATTTTTCTGCATCTAATAGGATGAGAAGGGGACAGGGATACCTTTACCTTCTGCCTGAGGAGGATGTACATGTCTTTCTTGAGTGGAGTGTAGCCTTCCTACTTTACCTGACCCATGTACCTCTTTCTGGGGCTCAGATCAGAAGCTAGTGAGCAATGTGCAAGGGATTTTTTTATAATCTCATATGGGGCTGCATCTGTACCAGTTAAAAGCACCGCTATCTGCAGGATATCTCGCTACACTGAGGACAGCCAGTGGATTGCTTAGGGGAGCAATCCATGTGACTGGCTTTCCACCTGGTTGACCTGCAAGGCTCTTTTGGCACTGCAGGTTCAGTGTGCTTTTGCTTTCAAGCACAACTGTTTATTTGCAGAAGAAAGAGCTGCACAAGAGTCCATCAGCATCTGAGACAAGCTGAAATGATGCACCAGAAAGATGTGCTGCATACTTCTGAGCTTTGATTCGCTCTGGGTTCATACGCCAGTTCCCAGAAGCAGTGCACAGTTTTGGGGCTTTTTTTGTCCACCAGCGAATCTGCTTGTCATCAAAGCCTCTGAACAATTGGTCTGAGTGGACAGCACTAGTAATTATCTCATAATGTAAAAGTGGCAGCTACCAGTTACACAGAGGTGTGGGCAACCTTTTGTCTGAACTACAGTAACTTACTGTCCTTTGCTACCCTGTGCTTGTGTCAGCTGGAGTGTGGGAAAGGCCTGATGCTGGTCAGGCATGTAATTAATGGCAGCTCCCTGAGAGATCATGGAGCAGCCCAAGCATGCTGCATGGATCTCAGTGCAGCATAGCCATTTAGGGCCTGGCCACCACAGAGCTGGTGAAAGTTGCAGGAAAAGTTTGAGAAAGCTTGCTGTACTAGTGGGCCAAAGGGCTAAGGCAGCTGTTAAATTCTGCTCCACCTAGTTAGGTGTGCGTGTGATCTGGCAACAAAATGTATCGCCAGCAGGAGAATTAATTGACACTGGTCCCCCTTAAAAATGAGGTAAAGTGCAAGTATTATGTCTTGTAGGAGTAAAGGATGTACAGAAAGGTGCTGTATTTGGCTCAGTCTAGATAGACCCCCTTCAATGCCTTACGGGCAATACTACACAAATTCTGCTTGATCCATAGCTGTGTTTTGATTTGCATCCTGATTTTAGAGTCCCCTGGGAATCACATTCTGAAACCTCAGCAACAAGGGAGCGGAAGCACAATCCGAAATTTTTAGTCCCTGTTGAGATAGATACTGCTTTTTTTGTGCCACTGATAGGTAACATAGAAGGAGTCCTCTGTCTACTGCTAGCTAGACAGCTAAACAGCTCCAGACATTAAATCTGTAAGCCTTAGCTGTTAACTGTGAAGGAGCTGATTCTCATCTTGTTCATGTTGCAGCCACGACTCAGAGCTGTCTATCCATACCAACCTTGGTCTTGGTCTTGCTTGGCCTCTCCCAGCATGATGAGTGTCACTGTGGTTTAAAAATAGCAACTGTTTAGTTATCCAGCACTGTAAATGTGTTGGGCATTGAAGGGATGACTGGAAACAGGGCAAGGCTTTGCTTTGGATGACTCTTGTAGGAAAAGTTACAGGAAGTTTAGTCACTTATTAGTTTAGCTTATGGCAAACTTAAACCAAAAGGGTTCTAACTCAGCATTTTAAATGCTGTATACCCCAAACGGAT